TATGGGTGTCACAGTGGGTAACTATGGTAGGGAGGAATGGATCTTTTTCTCAGTTGAAGATTAGGTTTTTCTCTAGCATCTGTGCTGACCCCAAAAGAGTTAACAAAAATAAGGACAGATGAAGTTTTAATCTCACAGTACTGGACAGTCAGAGGCTAGCAATGGCTCAGTAGTTCCACCGAGAACCTGGGTCTTTCTTCTTTGAGGCCAGCTTGGGCTTCCTCCACTGGCTGGCCGCTCTCATAGCTGCTAGCTGGTGGCCCATTGCAGCCAGAGCTGCTGCTTGCTTTCATTTTCTTTCTGGGTGCATGGGAATAACTCTCCAATCCCATTACCTCACTTGTTTCTTTCTTCCTGATTGGATGCACCCAGGTCACCTGCCAGTCTTGGACCAATAACGGGTCTCAGAAGAATGGCATATGCTGATTGGCTTAGGAAGATAAGGGTGTTGAAGGAAAAGAGGGAAATAACAGAATCGGGGCTCTATTGACAGTGGGTGTGGCAAAGGGAACCAATGTCATTTACTTGGACCTTTTGGTTTGTCAAAAGAGCAAGCAATCTGGATCTTAGATGAAATTCTCAAAGTATCAAATAAGAGCAACTAATCTAAACTTCCTTTTGTAAAAAATAAATATCATTCAGGTCAACGTTGGGCACAATGAAGTATGACTAAACAAATTGGTCCTTGGGTCTCTAGGCAAATAGAGAACTGACAGATGAGATGAGGGAAGAAAAGAGTAGACAGAATTCCATTAACGAATTCACAGGATGGTCATGGACTCTGGAACTGCGAAGTTCTTGGTGTCTTTTTTTATTATTTTTCCTTCTTCCATCTTGTGACTGCCTGGGAATAACACCTGTAATAGATTTCAGTGGGCCCCCAACGGCACCTCAGAGACTTTTAAAAGGTCAAGAGCTTTCTTAAGAACTTAACTTACTACTCGAGAGTAACTTGGGTGCTAGGGGAAAAAAAAAATCAGGATGAATGTTCATAGGAAGTTAAATCCTGCCTTTTTTCCCCCCCCCTTAGGAAAATTCTAAATGTTAACAGAAGCATGGATCTGCTGAGAGAGCTACAGGTTTTCCGTTCCAAAAATGCTTTTGTTGCTAATTAAAATTAGTCTAATTTTGAAATGATCACATCATTAAAGAGTATTTCAACTGATATTGATTTGATGATACCTACAAACATCTTAGAATAAAGAGCCTGGTGTTTTAGCATTATAAGGTGCTCTGATTAAACTCAGATCTCTGAAATTGATGACATGAGCTCCCGATACCTCTCCATTCCTTCCCACCCCTGCATGAAATAATTATGAATACTTCACTCCATGCAATCCACGTTTATTTTATTTTATTTTATTTATTTATTTTTTTACAAGGATGGGGGATGGCTGGATAAAGTGCTAGTTCTTTGCTGGTCTATAGTATGGCTCTAGCAATATCTTAATTAAGTCTAGAGTCAAAATGAAATATGTGCCCCATGCATGTTTCTAATCCTTTCAAACCTGCAGTTTTGATGTGTGATCCTGGGCCAGCTCTTTAGAATGGTGTCTATTATGTCAATAAATCTTCGAAGTGATGTCAGCCAGGACATCAGCATCTTTGGTGGATGGGAGGGCTGGCTTTCAGAGGTGCTGGAGGTTGGGGGCACAATCTCAGAGAGGCTTCACCTTATTCCCAGGGGCAGGTGCTTTTCCACACTGTCTGCTCCACATAAATATCCTGTTCATTCACTTATTCGTCCCTCACTCGCCTGGCAGCTCAGCCTAGCATCCTGACCTCTCAGTCTGTGCAAAGTCCAACTTCAAGCTGAAGGCTCCACTGAAGTCCACCCCATCCAGAATCCAAGCCAACATGGATCCCTCCCTTTCCCATTTGCAGAAGTTACCCGTGATGCATCAGATCACTTCACCGGATTCGGACTTTGATCCATTCATTTGACTCCTATCCACAGAACCCATCCTTCTTGTGAGACAGTATTTGGATCAGAAAGATGAGAAAAGAAAAAAAAAAAACAGGAAGATCAGATCCCTGCTGTTAGGGCATTTACATTTTGGGTTGTGACGGGCAAAAAATAGCTAGAGAAATACATAATTTTGCATTGTAAAATGTCCACAAAGGGAGCAAAGAAGGTAGCATTCCAGAAACATCAGTGACGGGAAGCCGCGTGAGACAGGAGACCAGGTTGGTCTCTCAAGGGGATGGCTTTCAGGCAAAGAAATGAGAGGGGGAAGAACATTTCAGGAAACTCATGATGTACCAGAGTCCGTTCATGGGCTTATGTAATTTTTCTGTCTCCAAGGTTAGAAAATTGAAGGTTCCTTAAAGGCCAGATGAGATATGCCTATCTCCCTAGGCCCTTTGGATTTCAGCAATGGGCTGAAAAACCTAAGTGGAACCCAGTAGGTACTTACTGAGCCTAACAGAAGGAGAGAGAGACTAGATTCTTCCCACTCCTTAAAGAGGAAGACAGCAACAGCAGTTCAGAGTGAGTGATGGGGGGCGGGGGAAGAAGCCGTATCCCTAGGAGGGACTATTTATTCTGAGACTTCATGGAACCCGAATTTCACAAGTTCTAATGCAAAATGATGAAGGTTCGGCACCACCTTCTTTGAGTGAAACTTCTTTTCTGATACACGTTTCTCCATCTTTCCTTTCATGCACGTCTCAGAGCATCCCCGGTGGCCCAACTACAAGACCCTCCTTTGACCGAGTGTGAGGCTGAGACACCTGTGTGAATATTTGGGGTCACATCTGCTATTCCTATAAAATCAGGTGCCTCCCAGAAATTCTTGCCTGATTCTTTCTTCTGTACCCCAGTGGTACAAAGCAGGCTACGCCCTAGTGTGTGTGTTTGCCCAACAGTGTGTTAAGAATCTCCGGAAGAGTGGGGACTGGCTGGCAGGTGCTTCCACTGGCCTCAGAGACTGTGAGATGGCCATGAATCCGAGACTATGTGAGCCCAACACCCATGCCAAACTGACCAGCAGCAATTTGTCACGGCGTCTCACAGAGAAACCTCTGCCATTTGCCCAAGGTGAGTGGACTAGTCCATTTTCTATTACTCTAATGACACACCTGAGGCTGGTACTTTATAAAGTAAAGAGGTTTTCTTTTTTTTTTTTTTTTTAGCTTTTAGTTCTGGACAGAGTGCTGGCATTGGCTCAGCTCTGTTAAGGACTTCATGGTGGATGGAACACAACGGCAAGAAAACATGCTGGGGGAGAGCCTATGGTGAGACAAAAAGCCAGAGACCAAGGAGGGAACATTTCTTGCTCTCTTATAACAGCACACTCTTGGTTCCACCACCTCCTAATACCGCCACACTGAGATCCAAGCTGCCAGGTCATGGACACATATGGGGTCCGTATGTGTTTGAGCCATAGGTGGGATCGGGAGCAGTCAAAGATGGTAACTTGGCTTTTCTCATTCTGGGAACATCTGATGGAGAAAGTCAAGGCTGCTGGGATTTGACCGTGGCCTAAGGATTCTGAAGAACTTCCCTGAAAGTGAAAGTTTTGAATAAGCCAACATGGCCGCAGACCTGACATCCATTCCATGTGCGGTCTGACCTGTGGCTTCCAGACTCTTGGATACGGACAATCATGAAAGCCAGAGTCCACATGCCCTCACTCTTTGAGCTGCTGTTAATGAAGACACCAACCCCGACGATGGGTAGATCCTAAGAGCACCTCCTGTATCTTCTCCTTGCAGGAAGTGCTCGACCTTTGTCAGCAGAGTGGACCACGTGTGGGGAGAAGACAGCCGACTTGACTTCTGAGGCCACTTTAGACACACTGTGTTTCTAGCTTCTTTTCCCATTGTTGGTGACACATCCTGAAGGAAAGACCAAGCAGACTGCTTTTTTGGTTAGGAACATTTCAAAGTTTATTTTGATTCTTCTTCTGACTTACAGAAATTATCCAAACAACTTTGGCTACATCTATTTTCATCTGCATATGGTATTTGCAACGACTCCAAAGTGGAAGACGTATTTACACAATGACATTTCCCATTGCGCGCGATGCCCTTTGTCTAAACATCCTGGGACGCAGTCACGTGACCTTTGACGATCGTGTCTCCTAGGAGAATCCTGGACATGCCCTACCATGTTCCTCTCCCCGCTCGAAGGAGGAACTCTAAATGCATGACTCTTATTTCAATGACTTTTAACATTTCTATTGAGGTTTTTAAAATAGAGATGTGCATTCTTCTTAATCTTATGAGTTCTAATTGAAGAAATACCAGAAGTGAATGTTTTAAGGTCCCACGTGTGCCATCCAGCACATGGTGAAGATGTACAAAGTGGAATTTCAACTCAGTTGTGGCCCCAGCGTGCAACTTGGCTAGAACTACCCCAATCAGTGGCAAGTCTTAAAAGATTGTCCCTTTCCTGGGAGACCTGTTCACCCTGTAACTGGGGCTAGGGACGCTATGGAGCTGACCAATTTGCTTCCCTGCAGAGTGGATAGCTTTCTGATGGTCAGCTTTTTGACTCCTTTGGGAAAAGATGTGTTAACAGGAGAGAACAAAAGAGTGGAAGAAAGTCCTCTCGTTGGAGAACGTGGTGGGCACCAAAGTGTGGAAGTGTGTTCAGCCCTGTTCGTCTGCCTCTGGGTAGGACAGCTGGCCTGGCCCTAGGGTGAGTGTTCGGGGTGTTCCTATGAATCTTATTGAACCCTTGGACTTGGGAATGCTACCTTTCCTCCTGGCAGCTGTAGGAGCTGTGGACAAGATTCTTTGATAACCAGGAACGAGGCCATATGTCACCAAGCTTCACCCAGGCCCTTGGACATCCTCTTTCCAGGGTACACTGACACAGTTCAACCTCCAGGGGCCTTTGACTCCATTGCTGTGCCTTAGGGCTATTTGTTCTAAATGCACTTAAAGTCACTGTGCTTGTACCCAGCAGGTGGAAATATCTGGAAATGGGCACCCCAAGTGGCATCTCTCAACCAGTGACTTTTCAAAATGATATTTTTATTGGTGCACTATAATCATGCATGGTAGTGGGACTCATCATGCCATACTGTATTTGCACAAAACATAATTTCATCAATCTCATTTCCCAGTGTCTTCTCTTATCCCTCCTCCAATCCACTTGCTCTACTCTATTGATCTTCCTTTTATTATTATCGTTGTCATTATTAATATTGTTGTTGTTCGTGCATTATAAATACATTTAGAATTCATGGTTTTATGTTCATACGTGGACGTAGCATCTAGATTTTGTATTCCAGGACTTCCCCAGCTCTTCCTTGCCTCCCTCTCTCTCTTTATCAACTTCCTCTTCTCTATTGTTCTCCTTCCCCCCCCCCCCTTGAGATCCCTCTTTTTAATTCCTTTCTCTCTCTCTAGCTTCAACTTTTGAAAGAAAATATCTGACCATTGACGTTCTGAGTCTGGCTTACTTCACTAAGTATGACCAGGGAAATGCAAATCAAAACTACATTGAGATTTTATCTTACTCCATTTAGAATGACAATTATTAAAAATGCAAATAATAATGGCCAGTGATGATGTTGGGAACATGTATACTTAAACATTGCAGGTGGGACTGAAAATTGGTATAACCACCTTGGAAAGCAGTGTGGAGATTTCTCAAAAGACTAGGATTAGAACCACCATATGCCCTAATTATCCCACTCCTTGGTACTTGTTTGTAGGAATTAAGGTCAACATACTATAGTGATCCATGCATTCGAATGTTTATAGAAGCACAATTCACAATAGCCTAGTTACGGAGCCAACCTAGGTGCTCATCAACAGGTGAGTGAATAAAGAAAATGTATGTGCATTTAATGAAGTTTTACTCTGCCTTAAAGAAGAATGAAATTATGGAACTTGGAGAAGCAGTGATTTTTTTCTCTCTTTTGAAATTTATTCTAATTTTTTGTTTGTGCTTTTTAGTTGAGTATGACAGTATAATGCATATTGGCAAATTATACAAACATAGAGTATAACTTTTTCTAATTAGGATCCTATTGTTATGGTTGTACACGATGCAGAGTTACCCTGGTACTGAACTTCCTATTCCTCTCCCGGCTCCCTTCCCTCAATCCCCTTTTGTCTAATCCAATGAACTTCTATTTTTCCCCTTTCCACCCTCCCTTGTTTTGGGTGAGCATCTACATATCAGAGAGAAGATTTCATCTTTGATTTTTTTAGGATTGGCTTATTTCACTTAGCATGATTTTCTTCAGCTCCATCCATTGACTGGCAAATGTCACAGTCCATTCTTCTTTATGGCTGAGTAATATTCCATTGTGTATATATACCACATTTTCTTTATCTGTTCATCCACTGAAGGACACCCTAGGTTGTATCCATAGCTTGGCTATTGTGAATTGAGCTGCTATAAACATTGATGTGGCTGCGTCACTGTAGTAAGCTGATTTTAAGGCCTTTGGGTATAGACCAAGGAGTGGAATAACTGGATCAAATAGTCAACCAGTGAATCTTGACAGTTGTATATAACTATACAAATTCCCTTACTTCTCAGGTGGGACTTCCCAGAATCTCTCTTGGCACCAGGCACCATTGTGATAGCTGTTTTAATGAAGCACTCTTTGCTGGTCAGCTTTCTTTACAACCACCCCGTGTATTTGCTATGTGTAGATCCTTGTTCAGGGTCAACGTCATAAGTCTTTCTTGTTGTTATAACTGAATACTACAGACCAGGTAATTTATGAAGAAAATAAAAATTTCTTAAATTTACAGAGGCTGGAAAGTCTGAAGTTAAGGATCCACATCTGGTGAGGGGCTTCTTGCTGGTGGGGACCCTGTAGAGTCTTGAGACTTAAACAGGTCATAGCACAGTGAGAGGGGGGATATTCCAGAGACATAGCCAAACTGGCTTTTTATAACAGATTTTTTTTTTCTTGAGATACCCCTTTAACCCAGTAATCTCTCAGCCCATGAATCACCTCTTAGGTCCCACCTGGTCCCAGCTCCTAAATACCTCACAGACACTAAATTTCAATATTAGCTTTGGTGTGAACATTTAAGTCATAGCAATTAGTGTCTGCGGGAATCCAAACCGAGACTACGGCATCAGCTAGGCACTGGGGGGGCACGCTGCTAGAACTTTTTTCTTTCATTCAGCAATGCAGAAATTCAATCAACTTTCCCTCCCTCTTTCCTGAACTGGTTCTAGCAGAGAGGTCAGGTAAGGAAGCATCCCTTTCACACCGGAAGCAAAGGAATATCCAAAGGAAGGTTCAGATAGTGATTGTAGACAAGAGACCCAGAAAGGCTCTTGTCAGGAGGGAAGATGATTGACAGTTTGAAGGATCAGCAGAAACTGGAAGAATGAAAGAAGGTCAGCAAAAACACAGAGGTGAGGATAGCCTGGGACTGAATGATGAAACACACGTAGGTGGTCGTAGCTGGAGAAGATAAAGGATGTGTGAAAGGTCCCATGCGGAAATGAGGTGGGAAAAAAAACAACTTTAGGAAGGTGTTAGAGGTTGCTGTGCCCAACCCAGTGCTCATGGATAAATTTAGAACAGGAATGAAGCATGTATCAATGCACCTGTCTATGGAATTACATCGACATAAGCCCTTCTCAGTCTAGCTTAAGACACAGCCATTCAAAGGCTTAGGGGAATAGGGCAGGGGAAAAAATGAACAGACCCTAGAAGAGCTCAACCCATCAATTGTGATGATAACAAGGGTCACAGGGGTGATAAATGCTGCTGTAGACACACAGAATTGGGAGGGAAAGTAAAATGGAGGCAGCAAGGATCCTTCACACCATCAGTGACATTGGGAAGCCTAGACTTCAAGCCTCCCTCCCCATCTGGCTTGGGTCCTCTCATGAGTCTGGGTACAGGGGCTGGCTTTGTAGAATTGGAAGGCATCCCACTTTTTATTTAATATGTTCCAAAATGTCTCATTCGGGAACGGATGGGAAGCCAAGGTCCTGAATCTGCTCATTCGTTTTCAGGAGAGCAATAAAAAAAAAAAATTAAGTTTGGAGTCAGGGCAAAGGTGTGACTTGGCTTCCTGGAAGCCACATGCAAAAAAATCAACATGGACTTGTACAAAGCTCAAACGTGTCCACAACGTGGTGCTCTGCACGTCTGCAGGCATCCTGGCAATGACTTCTGGTGATCCCTCTGTCCCGCCGAAGGATCAGGGATGACTTTTTTAGTAAAACAGTTTTTGAAATTTTTAAGTGTATCATGCACACAGAAGAGTGCAAAAGTCACAAGTCTATTGTGAAATAATTTTCACAATCTAAACACATCCATAAAATCAGGTCCCAAATCACAAAGCATTATTAGTACCTCCCAGAAATCCCATTAGATCTGTCTTCCGGTTACTACTCCCTCTCACGCAGGGAAAATAGAGAGTTCTGTGTTAGTTATCCATGGCTTAAAACAAAAGCACACACTCATCCTCTCCACCATTTCTATGGGTCAGGAGTGTGCGAGCTTGGCCTTGGTGATTCTGGCTCTTCTATGAGTCTGCCCATTCAATCCAGATTTATCCAAAGGTAGATGGACATCAACTACTAGGAATAGTTCTGCTATGAAGGACTTAGGCTTCTGTTGACTTGCTTCATGGTTTAAATCTAGATGATAGTGTCCATACCCAGGAAATCATCATACATTGGCACTGTCCATAAGGAAGTGCCCGGTTTCTGTTCTCATGACTAAAAGGCTCAGGGGTCACTCCAGTTGAACTGGGCTGACTGGGCTGCGCGAAATAACCACACAAGAGACACAAATACCTTTCTCTCTGGGGTCGCTGTGACGGCTCCTCTGACCTTAAGGGTCCGCAGGAAGAGAGCGAGCGAGAGCACTCGCTGACCCCTTTTATTGAGAAGAAGCTATTCAAATGAGGCAAGGGGTCAGGTTTCAGGGGGCTGAGTCTGTCTTCATGATGTCCACTGTCAGCAGGTTGACTGACACCTGGGTAGGCCACACCCAAGGGCACAGTAAGAGAAGGGGACACACAAGGCACTTCCATGGAAGATTCTATCCCAAACAGGGCAAGGGGTTATATTACAAAGGAACAGGTGAGCATAGCTTCACCATGGGGCTGTAGCAAGACACACCCATCACTGACCCTCGAACCTAAGAAGGGTGGGGAAAGCTCTGCCAGATTTCTGCGACTGGGCGCCTCAGCACCCAGCCGGGGAGTGTGACTCACTCACGTGTGAGGTTGGCCTCCCACAAGGAAGATCAGGATACACACTGTTTCTCCAAATCCCAGGTTCTCTGCTGGCCAAAGCCAAGTGTCAGGACCAGGAATCTTAGCCACTTTGCTAGTTCATGTAACATTTTTTTTTTCTTTTTCTTTTCCCTTTCCTCCCAGGAATCGTCAAGAAGCTAATGAGTGTTAGTCATGGCATGAGGACTTTGCATGTTCATCTTCTCAGAGGCAAAGCCCAGGGCATCAAAAGCCAGGACACTTCTCTGATTTGTCCTCCTATCTCAGAAAAGGTCAGAAAGACAGGAGCAAAGGAGTCATTCATGTTTGAAGCATCTGGTGGGAACAGTCTCGGACAGACAGAGGTGAAGTCCACCTGCCGCAGCCTGGCCAAGGGGAAGGCCCTCCGCGAGAGCATCTCCCAGGAAGAGGTGAGGTGTAGCTCCACCTGGAGACGGAAACGCAGGGGGGTCCCCACTCCTGAGAAGTCCCTGGGAGAGGTGGGGAGGTTATGGGGCAGCAGGAAAAGCTTTGGAAACTCTTTCTCTCTCCCAGAAAACCATTCCGTGAGCGTGTCCTTTGAGACCCTGTCACTTTTCTGCTCTTCACAGTAATATTCCTGTCATCTTCCAGTGAGGAGGTAGAGGATGGCCCTCCTTGCCTTTATCTCTTCTGGGCATGTGGAGCCAACGTCCACCCACTGGGACCTACCCTGTGGTGTCCAGAAGGTTTCTTGGGGCCTGGATCCAGGAGTTGGTGCCCCCCTTCCTCCCTGGGGAGGCTTCCTCCACCAGTGTCGGCTGGAGTTGGTGGGTAAATACCTCGGCTCCCTCATCCCTCTTATGAGATGGCTCAGAGGTGAGTGTGGTGCTGTTCCTCTCACAGTTCCCACTGGGACCAGGCTTTCCCAAACACAATGGCAAATTTCTTTTCTATTTTTTGCAAATTTCTCAATACGATGCTTTATCGACTCTCCCTTCCCCATCTCACTTCCCCAACCCCCTACCAATGGTCATTCACCTCTCACATAAACCACCTGCAGCTGGACCTTCGTCTCAGGGCCTTGTTCTTGGGGAACTCAGGTCAGCACGGGTGGGCCTAGGAGTCGTGGCTCTCAGCTCATTCGTTCACTTATTCACATACACATGCAATGCTTCCTCGCTCTTTGCCAGGTCAGGAACTTACAGCTGGGAATACACTGGAATCAAGACCAAAAAGTTTCCCTGACGAACTTTCCTTCCTGTTGGGAAGAAAGGAAGGAAGGAAGGAAGGAAGGAAGGAAGGAAAGAAAGAAAGAAAATAACTTACAAGGGCACAACTCCGAGTGGGAGGGACTATCTGAGATTGGGGAGGCCTCTCTTAGTTGCTCAGTTCTGCGATGCCTGGCCAGGCCTGGTCTCTGGGCCCCTGGGGGACTGTCCTACATGAATGCATAACTGGCCATTGCCCCTCTCTGCCTCCCTCACCTCTGGCACCTTGCCCAGTGGCTACCTCTCCTTGTGGGATCTGTTTTTAGGGGAGACCCAGCCTTGTCAAGCTGCACTGTGCAGGGGAGACTTCTCCCTGCACCGCAGCCTCAGACTTGAGCTGCTTCCTGTCAACCCCAGCACCACAGAGTAGTCTAGAACCTGGATCCAGTTGTCGTGACTCACGGGCCACAGAAGCAATGAATTTGAGAAGAACAGGAAAAACAGTCAATATTGATCCATCCATTTCTACATGGAGACTCTACCAGGGACTTCAACATCGGTTGCTTCATTGAATCTTAACTGCTTGGGGGCAAGAATTTTATCCCTGGGTTTAGAGAAGGCAATGGAAACTTGGTGGGACTGAGTGACTTTTCCAAGGTTTCAATGCTGACATAATGCCAGAGTTCAGGCTCCCATCTCCTAGAGTCCAAATCAGTAGCCCCAGACCACACCGTGCTGTGTGCACATGGCTACCTATCAGAGACTCTTGGAAGTCTATTCACTTCTATGCACGTGGCCATACTGGGTCAGTCTTATGTCTCCTTACCTCAGGAAGCCCTTGGATGGCCAGTGTCAGAGACGGAAGGCAAAGTCTGGAGTCCTCAGCCTACATCTGGGAGGGCTGGGCTGGAAGACAGCAGGTGTTATCCGAACATCCCCGAGGGCACAGGAAACACTGCTCAGGAAAGGACACAGAGGGCGGGGCTGGTTGGCATGTGCTGGCCTCTCCTCTGTCCCCGGTCAAGCATCCTCCAGTGGATTTCCAAAGCAGTGGGGGCAACAAGGATGATGACCTTAATTCAGTCATTTCTGGGGAGGCACATTGAGTGCTCAGCATTGCCACGTGACATCGTAGGTCACTCTTCTCCAACCTGCTGCTCCAGCATCCAGTCTGGTTGTTCTGCACTTGGTCTCTAAAGGAAAGGACCCAGCAAGGTGCCGCTCTGTCTGGAACCAGAGGCTTTTCAGAGCTGCGCAGGGCTGGGGCTGGAACTGGCGCTCAGGAGGGCAGCGCTGAACTCTCTGCACGTATTTTACCACATTCTCCTGTAGCTCCTTGGGAAGGGTTCAACAGAGCTGGTTTCCCTTGTGCTCATCTGAGCCTGGCTTCTGTCAGTTTATGTATTTTTCAAAAAATGCTGTCAATTCTCCACTTCTTGAATCCGTTAATTATCTGCTTGACTGTCTGTTTAGGCAGAGGAAAACCCAAATTGCGTAGGATCTCGCCCACCTCGCTGCAAGTCAGTTCAGTAAACGCTCACCACAGCCCTGCTGGCTGGCCCAACCTGTCGCCAAACACAGGAGAGGCACGGAAGAGGTGGCTGGCTGGCCTTGCTTTGGGAGGTAGGTGTGTGTGTCCTCTCTTGACTGCCAAGGAGGGAAGTGGCATGTCCTGGTCAACTCTGTCCTGACCCAGTCCAAGGGTGAGGGTGAGGGGAAGGGGTGGCACAGGGGCTCACAGAACTGCGGCTGCAGAACAGGGTTCCAGTGCCCCAGCCAAGAGCCCAGCTGCCTGGCCCTTCCCCTGTGCAAGCCGGGGGTGCACACGTGCCAGGTCGTGGGTCTGGGCATCTTATGTACATACAAGGGTTTGTTGGCAGAATCAAAGCAATAGTTGAAAACTGTGAAAGGGACAGGGACCTGAGGTTCAGGTGGCAGAATAACAGGCAGCACATCAGAGAAACCCTGCTGGGCTGAGATGGAGGCCAAGAGCTGTCCTTCTCTGTGTCTGTGAAGAGTCAAAGGAGAAGAGAGAGACACAGGGAGTGGGGGGAAGAGAGACGCCCTGCCCTTGGCTGCCTGGTCCCTAAGATGGACTGCAGGGCTTAGAGAGGACTCCTCCAACCCAGGGCTGCCCCAGGTGATACTGGGGCTTTCTCACACAGTAAGGACATCAGGTCAGACGGGCGAAGGTATAACTCATCCCTGACGTGAGTGTCCGGGGTGCCTCCTGCCTGAGGGAGAAGATAGGTGAAGGGCCTAAACTTTCCCTGATAGACATCAGGACCAACGGAGTGATCTAAGTTCTGGGTTCCTTCCAGGGTGCAAGGGTTCTAAGGCCTTCTCCTCTGACGGTTGGATTGGAATCAATTCTAGAAAGCTTCCAGAGCTTCTCTATAGGGTGGACGGTTAGTTTATTGGTGAAGGTGAGTTTATTGCTGTGGAAATTTAGAGTCCAAAGAGAGATGGGCAGGTGAGTCCTCTGAAAACTACACGCACACTTGCTGTACAACCTAGCGATTCCACAAAGGAACTGAAAGCAGGAACTTGAAGTGATATTCTGTTTGTACACCCATGTTCATGGCGGCACTATTCGTAAGAGCCAATAGATGGAAATAACCCCAATGGCGGGTGGACGGATGGACAGGCAAAATGTGAACATGCATACACAATGCAGTGTCATTTAACCTTGAAAGGAAATTCTGATGCATGCTATAGTATAAATGGACCTTAGGACGGTGGGCGAAGTGAAGTGACCCCGTCACTGGAGAATGAATTCACTTGATTCCTCTAATATGGAGGTACCTAGAGTAGCCAACGCATAGACAGGAAGGAGAAAGGTTCTTGCTTGGGGTTTGGGGAAAGGAAACAGGATGTTTTTATTTGATGTGTATGGAGCTTGTTTGCGATTATGAAGAGTTGTGGTTGCACAGAAGCCGTGTGTGTTGGATGCAGTGCACTGAGAAGAGGTAAAATGGTGAATTTGGTATTATGTCACTTTATCACCCTTAGAAAGGAAGAAAAAAGAAAGGAGGGGAGGAGGGAAGGAAGAATGGAGGGAAGGAAGCAAGACAGGTCGGGAGGCAGAGGAGGAAGAGGTAGCCGGCGGCTCACACCTGTCATCCCCGCCCCCTAGGAGGCTGAGGCAGGAGGATCAGAAATTTGAAGCCAGCCTCAGGAATTTTGTGAGGCACTAAGCAACCTAGCGAGACCCTGTCTCAAAATAAAAAATAAAGAGGGCTGGGGAGGTGGCCCTGTGGCTAAGTGCCCCTGGGTTCAATCCCTGGTACCAAAAAACAAAAACAAAAACAAAAACAAACAGAAAAGGAAGGGTGAGTCTGAGAGGCAGGAAGGGAAGGAAGGAAGAGGACTGGACTGTCACCTGAGACATCCAAGCAGAAGCCACCCGACTCTGGGCCTGGTGCTGCCAAGGGACTCAGGATTCAGACAAGGGCGGTCCCTTTGAAGAGCCTGGTGATACAGGGGCAAGAGCGTGTGGGGTCAGACAAAAATGGATGACTACCTACCTGGCATCCTAGTTAGCGGGATGATGGGAACAAGCAGCCCAGGCTCTCGAAAGCTGTCCTGAATTTCCTGTAAGATGATGCTTCAGTGATCGCCATGCACGTTACCTGTGAGAACTGAATGAGTCGGTGTGCCAGGGAGCCAGATCCATGTGACGCCGAATAAAACACACACCAGGAGCAAGAGGTATGCACTGACCACAGAGAAAGAATTACAGATGACCATGAACATATGCTCAAATCAATCCATAAGAGAAATGCAAATCTCAGCTACTATGAAATGTTCATTTAAATCTATCATCAGGTTGGAAAATGTAATGGTTTAGGAGCACATACTGTTGGAGAGATTATGGTGAAATAGCTGTGTGTTTTGCCAGTTCAAGGCAAAAAATATGCCACCCTAGAGAGGGCAATTTGGCAATGTTTATAAATATAAGAAACGATTCTTAACGATTCAGCAATATTACTTCTGGGAAATTCTTCTACAGATATACCCTGAACATATGCAAAATGACATACATGCAAGTTTTTTTTTGTATCAGAAAAAAAAAAAATGGAAATAGAAAATATTTAAAACAATTCAATATCCACTAATAAGAGAGTTTTTAAAAATGAAATCAGCCAGATTTACGGCAAAAGAATAGTATGCAGCTAGAAAAAGGAACAAGGAAGCTGTGCTCAAATGGTTAATTGACAAAAAAGCAAAGTATAAGCTACACACACAGTGTGTTGGTCAGCAATTTGTCAGTGTGCCCAAAATACCTGACAAGGAGAAAAAGGTTATTTAGAGTTATGGTTTCAGAGGTTCAGTCTATGGTCTGTCAACTCCATTGTTCTGGGCCAGAGGTGAGTCAGAACATCCTGGTGGAGGAAATGCTGCTCAAATTACAGTGTCAAGGAAGCAGAGAGAAAGGGGGAGTGACCGCAGGAGGGGCACACTTCCAATGACCTACCTCCTCCTTCTGTGCCCCACTCACCTACAGTTACCACCTAGTTAGTTCATTCAAACTAGAATGGACCAGTTAGGTCACAGCTCTCATAAGCTAATCATTTCACATCTGAGTATTCCTGAATGAACACAGGAGCTTTTGGAAGACACCTCCTATCCAAACCATAACATCAAGTTACAGTTTTTTGGTACCAGAGGAGAGGGGGTAAAAAAATATGCATCTTTGCTCCTTTTTTCCTAATGAAAAAAAAATGTAGATAAATAAGAAACTAATAAAAATATTTTCCTGAAGGAGTACCGAAGGGAATAAGGTAAACTGGGTGGGAATCTCCCCCCCTTCTCCTTCTTATTTTTTCTCTTCCTCCTGCTCCTCCTTCTCCTCCTCCCTCCTCCTCCTCTCTACCTCCTCCTCCTCCTTCTTCCTCCTCCTCTCTTCCTCTTCCTCCTCCATCAGCATCATTTCTTCCTCCCCCCTTCTTCCCCTCCTCCTCCTCTTCTTCCCTCCTCCTCTTCTTTTTCCTCTCCCTTCTCTCTCCTCATAATGTTTTAGTTAGCTTTTAATTGCTTTGACCAAAACATTCAATAAGAACAACTTAAAAGAGAAATAAAAGTGTATTTGGGGCTCGTGGTCTTAGAGGTCTTAGTCCATACATGACCAGCTCCATGACTCTGAATCCAAGGTGAGACAGCACAGTTTGCAGGAAGGGACCATAAGAGGAAAGTTACTCAGCTCAGGGCAGGGTCAGGGATTAGGGAGGAGCAGAAGGCCCAGAAGGGAAAATGCACCCTTCCAGGGAACACCTCCGTGACCCACCTGTTTAGCCAGGCCCCCCTCACCGCCCAGTCAGTCCATTGAAAGCTAAGATGGATTGATTAGATCACCGGTCTCATGTTCTGATCATTTTACCTCTGAATTTTTGTACATTAACAGGAGATTTGGGGATACACTTCATATCCAAACCATAAAATTTTGTCCGTGGCTGCTAAAAAAGCTCATGGCCACTTCACAATGCAAAATGCATTAGTCTATCTCCAAGAGTCCCAAGGTCTTAACACCTTTAGCATTGTCCAAAAGTTCAGGTCCAAAGTCTCATCTGAGAGGCAAGGCAAGTTCCTGGTTGTAATCTCCTGTGAAAGTAAGTTGGAGACGTCCAATACACAGTGCTATGGAGTAAATATTCCCAGTCCAAAAAATGGGAGGGTTGGGGGCACAGAAAGAAAGACTGGGGCCCAAACAAGACCAAAACCCAGGAGCACACAGGTCCCCTAACTCTGCCTATAGCAGAGGACACATGGCTGTGAGACATGCTACCTCAAGGGCCTGGGCACCCCACCCCTTTGGCCTTGCTTGCTGTGCACAAGGCGTCTCCTTTAGCTTGACTTTCTCTGCAGTCAGCAGCTTTTTTGACAGTCCACCTTACTGGCATCTCTTAATTTCTGGGGTATCCATTTCAGCTTCAGCTTCACCTTCACAGCTTCATGCATCACCTCAGGGGAGCCCAGAGGAGCCTGCTACACTTTGTTTGGCCTCCAGGACCTTCCTCAGAAATCTCAGCGGGTGCCTCTGTGACCCCTCCATGAAGACTCCAACATCACACACTCCTGCAGAGCCAGCACCACATGGATGCTACCAAGGTCTGCTGCCAGCCCATGCAATACCCGGGTCCCCTGAAATCATGGCTGCAATGAGCTCTGCATGGTGAAACAACTTTTTAGGAGCTCCCAGTGTGAGCAAGATACACCCATGACCTCTTCTCAAAGGAATTTTCCCTTTGAGAGCCTTGAACCCACAAAGGGTGTGGTCCTGAAAATTCCTGGGATGTCCTCAAGACATTTCCTATTGTGCAAAGTACTCAGCATTTCTGTAAGAGCTATAATCTCATCAATAAGCCCACCTTCCTTGGCCCTAGCTTCATATGCACTTTTCTGGTCAAGTCCAGTTTCCCATCTGAAACCTCTTGAGCACGGTCCACATTTGTACCTGCAGTCGAGTCTCCTAAGCTCCCACCAGAGTTACCCACGAAGCTCTGTCGACAACATTCTAAAGCTTTTCCAGACTGCCTTTCCAAACTTTTCCAAAGGGTTCTGGACCCCAGAGTCAGGGGAATCCCAGCAATGACCCAACTTCCTGGGACCAATTTCTGGTTTAGTTAGTTTTGTGTCACTGTGAACAAAAATACCTCCCAAGAAACACTCAGAAGAAAAAGTTTACTTGGGGCTCAGTTTCTGAGGTCTCCATCCATATATAGCTGACTCCACGGGGGCTCTGACCCTAGATGAGAAAGTACCTCTTGCGGGAAGGGACCAGCAGAGGAAAGATGTTCAGCTTCTGGCAGAACCACAAAGTAGAGGCAGGAGAAGGGGGCACAGGGAAGGTGCACCTTCCCAGGGCACACTCCCAGGGACCCACCTCCACCAGTCAAGCCCCCCCACCTGGAGACACCACCCAGTCTTAGATTGTGGTCTAATAATGAAGTCATTTTATCTTCTCTGAACATTCCAGTCCCAACAGGAGTTTTTTTTTGGGGGGAAACCTCCTTTCTAAACCATAAACACATCATTTTAATTTTTATAGCATGTTAGCAATTACATGCTTAAAACTTAATTTACAAAGTGAAACTTGATTTTAAAAAACTTTTCAAAATTACAAAACTTTACCGGAGACATCAATGATGGCTTAATGAAGGAACTGGCAGATTACGGTCCTATAGGGACAGGCTCCCTACTCCAGTTACATCAGTTCTTTCTAAATTAACTGATTCATTCAATACATTTGGAAACAACAGCTCTACCTATAAAATCTGACAGGCATTCTCACGTTCCTAAGGAAAATCAAATGTTCTAGGATTGTTGGAAGAATTTTGTAGGGAAAAAAACCCAGGGGCTTATGTTATCAAGATATACCATGAAAATCAAGTGACTAAAGTGCACTTAAAATATGTTAATTGTATTTTATATTACATGAAAAAAGATAGATGCATCTGGAAAGGAGTGGAGAATCTGGAAATGGACCCACGTGTGTTTAAAAATTTACAAAATTGTAAAAATAAACAAAAAAACCCTTATTCTACAATATTAATGCAACTAATTGCAACTGGGTTTGATTGAAATCTATTCATTTTGAAAGCAAAATTTTACAAGTATAAGAATAAAATGCAGAATAATTTCCATAGGATTGGATAATACATACTTGGCCACCCAGGAGAGAAAAACCAAGAACCAACAAAGAAAAAGAATAACCCGATTTTACTACCCTACAATTTAAAAGTCACCAGGAATATAGTGATTTCAATATCCTAGTAACAAACATAAACTAAAGACAGAAGAAAACGGCTGGGGTGAAGCTTAGTTGTAGAGCACTTGCTTCAAATGCATAGGGCTGTGGGTTCCGTCCCCAGCACTGCATTAAAAATATAGAAAGAAAAATTTTACAACATGATTATATTTTTACATCCTAGAAATAAATCTAATAAAATGTGTGTAAGATTTCCATACCAGAAAATGTAAAATATTATTATTAATCATCATCCTTATATTATATATTATTTTGAATAAATTAAGATTTTAATAAATGGATTTCTGTGCTGTGTTCTTGGGTTGGAGTTTAGCTATATCAGTTCTCCCCAAATGATTTGTATATTTATTCAATTTCAATAAAAACATCAGGATTCTCTCTCTCTCTCTCTCTCTCTCTCTCTCTCTCTCTCTCTTTGGAGGAAAGTGACATATTGACTTAAGTTTTAATGAAACTCTGAAGGCCTGAGAATAGTTGAGATAATCCTTGAAAAGAAGTAGATAAAGGACTTATTGTATTGGTTATCCAAACTTTTTTTTAATATTTATTTTTTAGTTTTTTAGGTGGACCCAATATCTTTATTTCAATTTTATGTGGTGCTGAGAATCAAACCCAGTACCTCATGCATGCAAGGTGAGCGTGCTACCACTTGAGCCACATCCCCAGCCCAAGACAGGGCCTTGCTAAGTTGTTTCAGGTCTCGCTAAGTTGCTGAGGCTGGCTTTGAACTTGCCATCCTCCTGCCTCAGCCTCCTGAGTCACTGGGATTACAGGCGTACACACACGCTGCCCATAAACTTGATCCGGGACCAAAGGCACACTGTGGCTGGGAAATCAGAAGTCATGTCCCTTTGATAAACACAGCTGCATCAGCTGGACAGCCATAGAGAGAATATGACAAGTGACCTCACACTACCCGACCCATATACACAGAGCCATCCTCGGCTGCCAGGTGAAAAGAAAACAATAAAGCTTCCAAGGCAAACATCACAGAATATTCTTATAACCTCAGGGTAGAAAAGACTTCTTAAATCAAATATCAAAAGTACTCCCATCAAAGAAGATGGATAAATTGAGCTACATTAAAATGAAAACGTTTGTTCATTAAAAGACATCGTAAAGAGGCAAGGATAAATCACAGAGAGGGAGAATATATTTATAACACAAATAACCAATAAACAACTTGTTCCCAGAATATATAAAGAACTGCAAATCAATACAAAATGACGCATAACTGTGCCAGTTATTAATTTACTGCCTCTTGGCTCCAAATTTTCCCTATTTATTCCTGCTTTGTAATACTGGCAGTGGACTCTGACGCCGAATTTCTGCTTTTCCAGCTGACTCTATGTCAGGCTCTGTCAACAGGGGGCACTGAAGGAAATTGCAAAGATGGAGGAGGAAGAAGGTTTGTTTTCTGTCCCTAATTTTTTCCATGCATGCAAACATTGCAGCTCAGGTGGATTTCCAGAGCACTTCCGGGGTAGTGCATGACCCCTGTAGATCTGGGGCAGCCCCAGCAATTTCATCTTTATTACAGAGGCATGGAGCAGGTTTCTGCAGCAGTTTCATCATCTGGAAGCTGGAATCTCACTGCATCTCAGCCTTGAAGAACCTCTTTTCTAAACTGCCACGAGTCTTCCTATTCCCCTTCTCCTCTGCCCTAGGGGTGGTTACTTTCTGCAGTTGCCACCCCATGTATCTTACAATCCAGCTTTTCTTCTTTCAGTCGTTAGCCACCCCTTAACCTTAGGAAATATCCATAATATTTTTCTTTGTTTAAATTACTGGGTGTGTTGTATTTCTCCTAAAGGGCCCCCCTGACCAATACCAGAACCCAACAGAAAAAAAAAATGAGAGAGACTCATCAGAATACAGAATACATTCTAGATAGGGAAGAGGGGTGGGAGGGAAAGGGAGGGGGCAAGGGATTAGCAAGGATGGTGGAATGTGATGGACATCTAAAGTACATGTATGACGACTTGAACTGGGTGTCAACATACTTTATATACAAACAGAGATGAAAAATTGTAATATGTATGTGTAATAAGAATTGTAATTCAAAAAAAAAACAAACCCAAAGTACATGTATAAAGGCATGAATTGGTGTGAACATACTCTATATACAAAGATATGAAAAAATGTACTCTGTATGTGTAAGAATTGTAATGCATTCCACTGTTGTGTATTTTTAAAAAATTAATTCAATAAAACTAAAAAAAAAAGAATACAGAATACAGAAATGTATTTCCCAAAGGCAAATCCACCTAGGAAGAAGGACTCAGCATCATTCCTTGTCTGCAAAATGCAAACTTAACCATAGGCAGTACCATGCACATCCACTAGAATGGTTAGACTTAAAAAGACTCACAATACCAAGTGTTGGGGAAGATGGGGAGTAGCCAAAACTTCTACACTGATGACAGATATGTAATTGGATAAAGTACTTTCAAAAGTTGACATTACCATACTCTTTGACCCAGAATTCAATTCTTCGGGCTATACCCAACTGAAATATATTAAACACACACACACACACACACACACACACTCACCAAAAGATGTGTACAAGCATGTTCATAGAGACTGAAAAACAACAACAACAACAACAACAACCAGAGGTCCATCAAGACCAGAACGGGTAAATATAGTATGATACACTTGTAAAATGTTACGGACAGCAATGGAAATGTATATACGGCAGCTCCGTGTCCTGACAAAGGATGAATTTAAAACCCAATATTGACCCACAGCGACAAGGAATCAGCCACAGAAAAACAGGTGAGGTATGATTCTTGTATATAATTTTTTTCAAAGCCCCAACCCATTTTTAAACTTGTTTTAAGTTGTAGATGGACACAATAGCTTTATTTTATTTATTTTTGTGTGGTGCTGAGGATGGAACCCAGAGCCTCATATATGCTAGGCAAGTGCTGTACCACTGAGCCACAACTCCAGCACACCCCACAACTCATCTCTTGGTACTTATTGTTGCTTTTCAATCATTACCTGTGGGTGGGGGAAAGGGAGATGTTTGGGTGGGTGTGAGAGGGACTGCTTAGCTATATACAATGTTATGTTTCTTGACCTGGATTCTGGTTACATGGATGTGCCATTTTGTAATAACTGATTGAACATGACATATTTTATTCAGTTTTTTTTGGTATATTTGTTATTCTTCAATTAAAAAGCTAACAAAGGAAAAGAAAAGGTGACAGATTGAGGTAAAATACTTTCTACACTTATATTATTAAAATTCGAGCATCCAAAATATATAAAAGAATGAATATATATCACTGTGTATTAAAAAAAAGAATGTCTATAAAAGAAAGGCAGACAACCTTTAAGAAAAATGGGTAAAGACTGCAATAAACTATTTATATAGTTCATACTATTGGCCAGTACACACTGGTAGGGCTTCTTGGTTTCATTAGGAATCTGGGAAACAGGTTCCTAAACACAAATGGCATTTACCACTCATTTGAATAGGAAAAGAAGAGACTGATTAAATGTTAGAGACAATGAGGGAAAATGGGCACTTTTCTCTCAGTCAGATATAAATTGATAAAATTTTTTTGGGGGAATTTAGTAGTATCCATCAAAATGAAAACATAAACCATTGGGCCACCAAATCACTTTTAGGAATGCTAAGATAACATTCACACATTTTTTTTATAAAGATACAACATGAAAAAGAAATGGAAAACTAACGATGTATGAATCAGAAGAAAATCCAGTCTCTCTTCATAATGGAATACTATGTGGCTGATAAAAATAAAATGAAATTCACTGTGATCTGACATGACAAAAGCTTTTCAAATACTAACTCACAAAGCAACTCAAGACACAAAATAGGTACTTAAAAGTTTCCTCCATGAGGTCCAGTGAGAACCAGAGCCCCTCAATGTCAGTTATTACTTCCTGGTACTGTGATGGCTGACTCTCTCTGATGGAGGTGATCAACACCCACTACACTTGCATTTGAAATCTACAGGATTGACTTAGGGAGCAGAGGAGGGAGGGGACAGGAATTCCTGTCCAGGAGAGAAATTCCTTTGAATGTCTTTGAGTTTGTTTATTCTTGCTGTATTCCAAAGCCTAAAATGCCCTGCATCTGCCTAGGGATGGTGGAATGTCCTCTTTCTGGGGAAAAAGGCTGGCACTGACCAGCGGAAACAAAATATGAATTTTATATGTGATTTTGAGTGTTCCAGTAGCTACAGTATGAAGAAATAAAAAGAAACCAGTGACATCGATTTTAATAATATACATCTTTGAAATCTAAGATATCAAAACTATCATTATCCCAATATGTAATTAATATAAAAGCATGAGTGAGATAAGTTAATGCTACGGTTTGGATGTAGTTCGTACCCTCAAAGGTTCATGTGCTGCAAGTTTGGTCACTGAATGGTGACGTTGACAGGGGTTGGGTGTTAAAGAGGTAGGACTTAGGTAGGTCTTGGGGCCAGGACCCCTGGAGGAGAGCAATGTCCTCTTCCAGGAGTGGCTCAGTTTTTGTGGGATTACATAAATTCCTTTGAACTAACGGGCTGTTTGAAAGTGAGTGCAGCTTTCTTGATGGTCTCTCTCTCTCTCGCCATGTAATATATCTGCTCCATGCATGTCACTTGCCTCTTGGAGCTATAATGCCATCTGCCATGTTTTCTTTTTAATGAGGGGAAGGTACATACTGGGTTTGAACCCAGAGGTGCTTTAGCACCGAGCTACATCTCCAGCCCTTTTTATTTTATCTTTTGAGATGGTGTCTCACTAAGTGGCTTCACCCCTCACTAAGTTGCTGAGGCTGGTGTAGAATTTGCAATCCTCCTGCCTCAGCCTCCCGAGTTGCTGGGGTTGCAGGGTGGACACAATGCCCAGCTTCTATGTTTTTGGTGGTGTTTGTGTTTGACACAGTGATACACCCTCACCAGAGGCCACCAGATGCATTCTTCAAACTGTGAGCTAAATAAACCTCAGTTATTTTAAAGTCATTGCTATGCTTTGGATCTGGAATGTCTCCCTAAAGCTCCCGTGTTGGAAGCATGACCTCCAAAGTGGCAAGGTTCAGAGGTGGAGCTTTAAGGCAGTGGTGAGGGCTTTGATTTTATCAGAGGATTAATCCATTTGCTGGATTAATCCATTGGTAGTCGATTAGACTCCTGGATGGTAACTGGAGGCAAGTGAGGTGTGGCTGGAGGAAACAGGTCACTGGGGATGTGTCCTTGAAGATACACCTGTCTTGGCTTCTCTCTCTCTCTCTCTCTCTCTCTCTCTCTCTCTCTCTCTCTCTCCCTCTCCCTCTCCCTCTCTCTCTCTCCCCCCTTCCTGGCTGTTGTGAGCTGAACAGCTTTCCTCCACTGTGCCCTTTCTCCATGATGTTCTGCTCCATGTCCTGCCTAGGAGCCTGCTGACCACAGACGGAAACTCTGAAATTGAGGGTCAGAATAAATACCTCTTCCTCCTCCTGGTTGTTCTTGTCAGGTATTTTGTTTGCAACAATGGAACGCTGATTAACGCAGCCTCGGGTATTTTGTCTCAGGAACATGAAGTAAATTAGGACAGCTATATTCTATTTTGGGGGGAACTCTTGAAAACCTGGTATGCACTTTACACTAGCAGCCCATCTCAGTTTGGATGCTAGTTTTATTCCTGACTCGATCTGTACTTGGATGTCACAAAACTCCCAGTTGAAACCGTGGATTTAAGTACCTGAGCTTTCCCAGCAATACCTGAATATACTTAAATACTTTCCCAAGGACTGAATGAAATGTCCCTTTTGTATGAATACAACTAAATAAAAAGAGCCAAAATTAAAAAATCCAGTGTCCCAGCCATCCCAGCTGTACTGGAAGTGCTCAGTAGCCAGTGTCTTGGTATTGGATGAAGCAGATGGAGGGCAGTCCCCCTCCCTGTGGCTGGGGAGGTGGGCGTGGACATTCTCAGGACGAATTGCTGGGTGAGCCCTCGGGTCCCTCCTGGCCACAGAGTGGCTTCTCAGCTCTTCTCTGCATTGCAAACACCTGGGAGCCCAGGCACAGGGACAGCCAGGTGAGGACTGGCGCTCAGCCAGCTCCAGCAGGTTTCACTTGCCTGACATTTAATCCAGCAGCCTCTGTGCCACCGTGTGGAGGCTGTAAGGACGAACCAGGGGCCCTGTGGGACATAAAGGACTTCCTCCGAGGGACTGCATTCCTGAGGGATGAGCCTGACCTTGGGACTCAACCCAACAGGATGAGCTAAACTGGGATTTCACAACCTGGCATCAGCCTGGAGCAGGTGGTGGCAGCAGCTGGGAGCCCTCCTGCTGTGGACTGGAGCGACCTCAGCCGCTGCTGAAGGCATGAAGGGCAGGGGAGACTAAGGAGTTCACAGCCCTGCCCTGCACCAGGAGCCTCGGCGTCAACACCCACCCCGCACCCCCTCATCCGTGGTGAAAAGTATTCCCTCTAAAACTGGAGGTCTGCTTGGCACATCTTGAGAACTTATTCTTTTCCCTTCTTTCTTAAGTCAGTGTGGAAGCTTCTGTTCCAAATCTATTCTCGAGAACCTTGCAGTAGCCTCTTTCTCTCTGAGCTCTGGGCTGCAAAGACCACATGCTTCCACGGATATGCTGAGCTCCCATGTTGGTGCAGTTAAAACCTCACAGGTTCATCCATCGCGACTGTCATGCCAAACGCGTGCCATGGTGCAACCCAAGAAGACAAGCTTCCTCCCTCCGGGATCCCACAGCCTGGCCCTGGAAGCTGGAGGTGCCTTCCCCTTATTACACACAGTGGTTCACAACCTTGACCACACTGTGGGGTCCCCTGGAGAGATTTAAAAAGTCCTGATGAGTTCTGATTTAATGGGCTTGGGGTGCGGCCTTGGCAATGGAATT